ACACGCGCACACACACACATACACACACACACACACACACACACACACACACACACACACACACACACACACATACATGCACAAACCCATGAGTTAAGCCGCACACACACACGTATACATGCACACAGGGCTTTGGCGGGGGAGGGCTGTTGGGGGGTAGTGGGAAGTTGGTGGCGGTCGGGGCGGGAGGAAATTTCATTTCCTTCCAGTTTAATCGCGCAGGGGTCATGCGCCAGGTGTACGAACCCCCGTGCACCCCATGAGTTATACCGAAAATGGTGGGAGACCCCCGTTTTCCCGTTTAACAAAAATTCACCGGGGCTTTGGGGGATTTAACGGGTTTCAACCGCCGTTTAACTGGACCACCCCCTAGCTGAAAAGACACTCAGGTTGTTGCTGAGGTCGAAATGGTAGATTGACCACCCCCTAGCTGAAAAGAGACTCAGGTTGTTGCTGAGGTCGAAATGGTAGATTGAAGAATGAAATCAGTCAACTATGGACTTCGGAAATGGGGAAAAGATACAGATAGGCCATGCTAGGAACTATTTCCATCACGGCAGGATCAGTTTTGTGGCCTGCACCAGGCAGTCTTTAGGGCAAGTAAATCTCAAGTGGCATATTTTTGTCGTTATGTGTATAGGGGAGCATACCTACTTCAATATTATTGTTCCTTAGTGGCAGATTTTAAACTTTCAAAATTTGAAGTCTGTAGTCATATAGTGGCAATTGTGGTCGAGTTGACATGAAACTATGTGAGGTAGTTGTTTGCAGTACCAGTGTGAGGATGTTCATGTATAGCGCAGAATCGAAGATCGACAGATGGGGGGGAGGTTAACATATCTGGATGTTTGTGCTCAACTGCCTCCTTTGAGCAAGTATTTAGGATGCTGACTCACATGACCGTTGCGTCCTTGTCTTCAATTCTCGCCAAATCGTTCTTTGTGCCTTGCGTGTGTGCCCATTGCAAATCATTCACTTTCTTTGGAGAGAGAGAGAGAGAGAGAGAGAGAGAGAGAGAGAGAGAGAGAGAGAGAGAGAGAGAGAGAGAGAGAGAGAGAGAGAGAGAGAGAG